TGTAGTGACCAGGCTGTCTGCAGTAGCGGCAGGTGTCGCCGGCCGCCACGGCGCCTGCGGCACCGGCGGCGCTGCCGACTCCACTGGTGGCACGGCCAGGGCCGACAGATCCCACCAGGCTGGTCTTGCTTGCTTGGGTCTTAAGGTTGTTCTCCTCCCGCAGCATGAGCACGAGCTGTGGGGTCGTTAAGTTGGGCTGATACATCGCGAACTCGACGGTGATGGTGCACTGCAGAGGCAGGCCATGGAGAATGGCGTGGCGCATCGTGCTCTTGTCCCACTGGCCGCCGGCCACGATTATATCGCTACGGAGCTGCTCTGCCCGCTGAATGAAGTCAGCGGTCGTCTTCCCATCGCGCATGCTCAGCTGCTTCTGCGGCTCCAACAGGCTCAGCCGGGCCTGGGATGCAGAACGCAACTGTTGCTGTAAGAGGTGCATGGCGGCGAGAGTGGTCTGGCAATTCCTGAGCAACTGCTTGATGGGCAGTTCACAGGACAGACGCAGGTAGCGAGCGCCTGTGTGTCCTCCTCCAGTGTCTTGGGTGTTGCGGCCCGGAGGCGACGGGTTGTTGATGTAGTCTTCAACTTGGATGTTGCGAGGAAATTGCCTAAGTCGCCGAGCCACTGGGAGTAGTTCGACCCATCCGAGAGGAGGACACCCTTACATCCCTTCCCCATGATGGTTGCCTAGCGAGCATGACTGATCAAGCCGCATTCCCCGCCGCCTTTCTGGCAACTAGTTGTTGCGGTGTACAATGGCTCCTGATGCGACTTATGCCCTTTCAGCCTCCCAGGCATGTCCCCACCTGCCTTACAGCCACCGACGCATCTCACGGCGGGGGTCTAATTGTGTGCATGTTTGGATGCAGCGTTCCCCTCCACCTTTCGGCAAATAGTTGATGGCGTCATACATCGTTGGCACGTTGTACGACGGTGCCTGATGCGATTTGTAGTGTAATGTAATGTAATGTTACAGAGTTACGATTTATGCATCCAGAAGCCCTTTCAGCCTCCCAGGCATGTCCCCACAACTGCCTCACAGCCAGCGGGGGTCTAATTGCGTGCGTGTTCACATGCGGCATGTCCCGCCGCCGTTCTGGCATCTATTGATGGTATGATGAATCGTTGTGCGATGTAGGGCTGCACCTGATGCGATCTTCTTTGCGGAAGGCCCCCCTGAGTGCTGCCAAGCATGTTATTCTCTCATGAGACAGCGTGAAGGTTAACGAACTGAGTATGCGACCAACACATAAAACATCGCATGTGAATTGTTATGTCATGCGATTAATCAAAGTAAATCGTGTGTTTTTGGTGTGTGCTAGCTTAGGCCGCATTAAACTTGACGCAACGAGCCTTCTTACGCTTGAAACGCAACATTTGTTTGCATGCGAATTGCGTTGCGACATGTGTGCGTTTGGTGTGTGTTAGGCCGCGTTAAGCTTTACGCAATCAGACTTCATACGCATGAAACGCAACATGTATTCGCATGCGAATAGCCTTGCGGACTGTGTGCGTTTGATGTGCGATTGGACGCGTATTGCTTTCCGCATTGTCTCCCCACACGCACGAGTCGCTATATGGAATCGCATGAGTATCGCCTTGCTACACATGCGCGTATGCTTCACGTTTCAACATAAAACCCTAAGTCGACCAAAACGACCCAAGTTTATTTCCAAATGAACATTTGCGATCTGAAATTTATAAAAATTTTCAAAATTTTAGCCAGGAGGGCCGATTTCCGCAAACCGTTGTGCGTTAGCTCTTTGCGTTACAAAAGCATGCTCATTTGCACCTAACGCTAAGATTTGCTGTAAGGGATTTGTGTTCGTTACCGAGTACGTATGGTTTGGCTTTGATCGGTACGACTCTGTGTCGTGCAAGGCTTTGCCAGACTATTTAAGGCATTCCTACACCATTATTTGTAAGCTTAGTATTCTTCTCTTCCTTGTCTCTCAGTCAGCGATTGATGTCGGGCTCTGCAGATCGGGCAAGTTAGGAACTAATGCTTCCTCCAGTCGCCAACTGGAGCCAGTTCCTTTCATTTGCACCGTTATGCGAACTAACGCGGACTTAACACGATCACCCGTCGTCATAATATGTCGTGGTCATGGCGAGCATGACCACAATGCTGAACGTCAGCGATTATACCGACAGCACGTATTGTATGTACTGGGTTAAATATTGGCTGAACAGCGACGCAGATCGGTCGTGCGATGATGCCGTGCGAAATCTTGCCGGCCCCGAAAAGTGCGTAGCAGCACTACCTACATTTTCGTTTTTATGGCATTGTAAATTTGCATTTGATTAAGTGGTTCACCACTTTTGGCAGGCAATGAAAGGGATTGGACTCCGGTTCTAGTTGGGATGTCAAAATAGTTACACTGTTGGACGAGCGACTTAAGCCTGCTAGCAGTCTACAAGGTGCAAATACGATGACATATCAAACTAAACAACAATAACGACTTAAATAGTTACCCAGAGCCTAGATGGCTCCGAAACTGTCGCACATTATCTCTAATCTATACGCGCGTCCACGAGTTAACGACTAAACAACCAACTAGAAAACCTAACATGCCCCCCTGCTTAAAAACAGGCATCGGCCTCGATGCGAACGAAAGTCCAAAGTATGCTAAGTCGTGCGCCGCTCCGATTCCCTGGACGAAATCGGTACCAGGCTAACGAGGGGAAGGCAAAAGGGAACCGGAGTCAAGGCAAAACCTTCCCCACACTGGATACCGGCCTAAATAAGGCGCACGACACCTATCCGGTCTAAGGAACCGGTATATAACCCAACGAACAGGCTCATAACAGCCACAAAGAGTACGCAAACCACAAGCCGAAGGCACGGAAAAACCGCATCGTTATCAATGTTCACCGGCTCCTGTTGAGCATTGGCACTTGTGACAGCTACATTTGTCAGAAGGCTCGGGGGCTGGGCATTTTGAAGCTGCTTTGCTCTATCCCGTCGCCTTTTATTCCTCTTTGCTTTGGCAATGCTCTTCTTAATGGGGTCCTCGACCTTCATGATCATGAGTGAAGTTGGTGAGGCAAAGCTATTGTTTGTATTCACCTAACCAACAGAGCCAATTTCGCCTACTACTTGTCTACCTCATGCAATGGGAACAGTGTTTTTTTGGTAATATATTACTTTTTTGGGAATAAATGGGGGTCTGAGCCTGGAAGAAATGGAATAATTGGTCAGTTGGCCGTACTGGTTCATTACTTGTGCCATAAGTCGCCCCAAATGCCTTCTGCACATATCGTGCAGCGGTGGTGTTGATGGTGCCGACAGTGTACATATATATAACATTGCCTTCGCGTGCTCACGATGTTTATGGACAGTCAAAGTGGCTCCGCGCCCTGCTCACAGAGACACTGGCGCAAATGCAGTTAGGTGCACAGAACGATGGTGGCACGGCATGTGTGTTTCCAGACGTCAGGTGTTGTTTACAGCACACCGTAAGGCCTTGAGGGGGGG